TACTATGTTGATAAAATCGATAGTCACTATATATAAGTTAGTATGGCATATGCAAATTTAAGAAGTTACTTTCTGAAGATTTGGAACTCTTTATAACTGGACCTAAAAAGGGCGCTATTTATCATAGTAGTATTCAATTTTTAAATACTATTTGGGCAAATCAGCTGGCTAGAAGGGACACAACAGTAGGAGACACTGGCTAATACTGAGACTTGAGAACTCTTAGATAAATTTGTTACAATTTAAAATCTGTGCTTCAACTTGCTGAAGTTAAAACAGGCACAGAGTATTCTCTGAGCTGAAATAATATTGCCCATTAAGCCTGCAGGTCTTATACAGCCTAGTCTATTTGTGGGATCTTAAACTTTACTGATACCTTTTTTCCTTGCTCTTCACCTTCCTTTTCCTAATATTTGCATTATATAAATTTTAAATTAACACATTTGACTGATTTATAGATGCTTTCAGACTGGATTTTAACATATTCATACAGAAATATTGGGCAAACACCTGTACTTCCCAGCAAAGCTGCCTAAACCCTGGCTATGACCTTTTCATTATGTATAATGACTTTTAAAGATATATGGATATTTCAATCTAAAGCAAGCCAGAAGATGTGCTTTGACTTGTTCTAGAAAATCACCTTCCTTTTTCTCTTCCTTAATCAGCTGTTTGACCACTTACTTTTTTCTTACTTTTTCTTGTGCAATACAAAAGCCACCAAAAGGCATGCATTTTCTGGTTTTACACGTAGGGCAGATTCCATATGAAGGCAAGAAGAGGAAGAAGGACTGCAGTAAACTTTAACTTTTTTTTAATTGTGTATGTCTTTGGTTTGTGAAACAACAGAACTTGTGACAAGCTGTTTAGAGTATGGCTATTTATATTTATATTTATATTTATATTTATATTTATATTTATATTTATATTTATATTTATATTTATATTTATATTTATATACATAGGAAGAAAAAGGAAAGTATGCCTTTTACTACATAAGGAACATTTTAATACTAATAATCTTAGCATTGTTTCTCTAAGCCTGGACTGATGTTTTACTGAATTCTACAAATCCAGAAGTATTTCAGGTTTGAATAACTTAGCTTTTGCATTTTTGAACTAACAGTTTAAAGAGTAGTATATACTGAAAAATGTATTTTTCTGGAATATTAATGAATACTGTTCAAGCTGTATCATATGATACAGCTTTTGGCATGTTTGCAACTGGTAAATATAAGCAATACATCACGACATTGATTTATTTACTTTGAAATATATCTTTTTTAATTAAAATGCCACTATTAAAAATCTGAAACATATTAGGACTTTAGATAACACTAAACATTGTGAATTATTATTTTTTTGAGATTTGGCTTATCAGTGGCATTCAAGAAAATGAATGTAACTTTTTTCTTTTCTGTTTTTTTCTTTGGTTTTGGTTGGGTTTTTTGTTGCTGTACCATTGTACTTACTAGCAGTTGGTTATTTTAAGACATGTTGTAAAGTGTCAAAGAGTGGAGAAAATGCCTAAGCTAAGACAACAAATGCCACAAAACTATAATGATAAGTATTCTGTCTGTAATTTTTTTTTTGTTATTTTGGCCCCTCTACTGAAAATCTAAGTGCTGTTTAAGTATGCAGTAGAAAAAGTAGCAGTTGGGTTTTTTCCTTTTTGTCTCCTATAGCAGAAAAAAGTGACATCCAGCTTTTCTGTTGGCTTTGCTGCTTAGGAGTGCTTAGTATGTGTGCACATGCATATAAATAATTTCCTTTTTATGTACTTTTTGCCAAAGTGCCCTCATTTGAGTGACATTTTTGCTCCATTTACATCAATGTTAAAATTTCCATTAACTTCCCCAGGGGTGGGATTCCACCTGTTTCGTCTAAGTTCACCATAGTTCAGTCTCATGTATTTAAAAGCATTTATATTTTAATTGCTTCAGTGGAATGCAGTTGTCGTGACCGGCAAATCTTGCAGAGGGCAGAAAGGATCATCTGGCAAGGAACAATGCCACATAAGGGCTTACACAACGCAACAGAAATACACTGAGCACTACATTCAGTGGGAAATTGTGTGGTAAGGGGCGTTTCAAATTAATCTCCTTTTACAAGATTTTTTTTTCAAGTAGGATAGTGCTGCTTTTAAAGAGTTTTGTCCAAGTTTACAGCTTCATTCCTGCATATGTGTTGTTGTAAGCAACAGTTTAAAATGGGGGTCTAACGAGATGGAGACAAATCTGTTAACACCGCACAGACAGAGTGAATTATGCAACTTGGCTGGTTTGGATATCTAATTATGACAAAAAAAAGAAACAAAGGGTGAAATGGAGTGTTAGCAATAAAGAAAAGTTTTCTAAAAAACTAAATCAGTGCTTTAGCCCCCCGATTCTCTCACCTTTTCCCCCTGCATCTTGCCTGCAACTGCAGCTGTAGTAAAAGCTGTTCAGTGGAGCAGTTTCGCCTTGGCACAGGAGATGGAACGTTCTCTTCATGTCTGTGCTAAGTATGGCTTCAAACCTAAATTTCTCTACTTTCTGTTTCTTGGTGTATTTGCCTTGACTCTTTCCTGGATCCAGGTCTAATTTTGTCTTCTGTGTGCTTTAGCTAAACTCTGAGATAGCTGGAAAAATGTGTTGCTGCAAAGACAAGATGGGATATCATTTGCTGCTGCAGCTTCAGCCTAGATTATCAGTACTTCCAGTACTTCCCAGATTTAAAGCAGATAAGACAATGTACAGACGTTTTCTCTGGAGTGCATCAGTAAGTGCAGGTGAGGAAGTGTTTGGGATTTCTAAGCTGTTGCTGGCAACAACAGATGTGTCACTAGTTGTGGCTTTGCTTCTCATACTATGGGAGGCAGAGAGAAGCCATTTTTTGGAGGTTGTGACAGAGGTTTTTAAACAGTAAGGTTTTTCTTGTTCCAAATTTTCATATCACTGGTCATTTGAACTGTTTTTAATAATGTGAACAGTGTTCTCCATAAATACATATGATGGCAGTCTCTAATGTGGTACTCCTCAACTACTATAAATGACTGTAATTCCTTTGATTTATGTGAACTGGAATAATCCTCTTTAGTTGAAGATCTGGCCCAGAGTACAGGAAGTGTATGTGTTAGTCAGGAAAGGTTGTAGAATTAGTTTCTAATTCTTCTACTTACTACTTTCATGCAGATGTGGTTTTTAAAGTTGACATGGTCCAAATAAGGTATGTCGTTTTCTTTTTGTAGTGTCAGTATTTTGCAAGGGAAGCAACATCCTTGGTTTAGGAATTGTTTCATTATTGCTTCACAGGAAATGACGACCATATTTGGGTTTGGACCTTGAAGTATTACTGAAATTTTAAGAGGCAGAAATATTTATTTAAAGGGTAAACTCATTGAATGTGCAAACTCTTATGCAATTAAAATGCTTAGCTACTTCAGAGCTCACATTTGATTGAAATTAATGTGACTGTTTATATTCATGTAAGGTAGATTAATCCAGGTATTTAGGATACATAAAATGAAGTAAACAAAAAATTTTAAAAATAGAATTTTGTAGCTTGAAAGAGCAATGAGAAATGCTTAACTCAACTTAAAACGAGAAAAAAATGATGCCTTTTACTAGAGGCAGAGCTTTTACAAATGGTCTTTCTACTGAGGATCTCACAATTCTGAAACACAGAATTAGGGCTCAGCGTTGAAGCTTTATCAAATGGACAATCTGAAGGAGAAGAAGAGTGCTCTGATGATTTGTCAGCTGTGGGATAGAGCTCTTGCACCTCACCCTAAGAGGTAAGACAGCTTTACTTTCTATAATTTACAGAATAGCGAGCAAGAAGTGTGACTTGCCTAAAGTTACACCACAAGTCTGTGGCAAAGCTGTGGAATAAAACACCCCAGCAGATGTGTACATAAGCTGCAATTTCATCTTTCTCTCATGATTCTAAGTTGGGAAGAACAACAACTGTTTTGAAATTCAAACCAGGAAGATAATCATGTCTTTCCATGTGATTTGTTGGTTATCCTGGCTAGTTATCTTCATTGAAATGAGGAAACACATTCCAAAATCTGCTGAGTGGGTGGGAGGATTTGGGGTATGAGGGCTGGGGGTAGAAGTAAGTTTACCCAGTATATTTTCTGATCTGAAGACCAATTGGCTAAATTGACGTTAAGCTGATAAATTTTCATATGACCACCTTCCTTTTTTTCTCCCATTAGAATGATTCAACTAGGAAAAGGTAAAATATATCTTGGGTAAATAAATAAATAAATATATAAATTATATGCACAAACCCTACTCTCTCTCTTCTGTATATCTGTTTCTAGTTGTTTTACTCTCTTTGTCCTTCTATCTGGTTCATATCTTTAAAGTGCAATACAGAAAACTGCCACAAGCACTCTTGGAGAACCTGACAAAAGTGCAGTTTGGCACATTTAGATAAGAGCCAGTGGCAGTGCTCAGTCTCACTATTTCATCGCAGACAGATGATATTACAAGTGCAAGAATATTCAGGTTCGTAAATGATAGATTTTAAAAAGCAAAACAAATTTCCATAATTCACTGTGCATTACAGCATTTGTGCTATAAATAAGTAAGTGTACTCTCTTGGTTTCTTGCATGGCTGATTTTTAAAGTTATGATGAAGTATATAAAAGTATATAAAATTAAAGTACGATTACACTTGAAAGATAAAAGCTAATTTCTGCCAGTGTAATAATGTACATAATTGGTTCTTCACAGCTAGAAGCCAGATACTCTTTCATTCACGCATTCATACCATGGCTGTCTAATTTATGGAACTGTTGAGAGGGTGCTTTTTAGGGAGGTAGGGGGAAGGGGAAAATAACCCCAAACATTTCTTACATTGTTACCTGACTTGGGATGCACACATATGATTATGTAAAATCTGTGTCTGGGTGGCTGTTTATTCTTTCTTGCAGAGTATTCTGTGCTCACTGAGTGGGAGGGTCACACTGTGAGACTAATAAGGACAGAGCTGCATCCCCCTCTACCACTCTGGAGACTCACTCCAGCAACTCCTCGGCACTACAGCAGCTCTGTACAGGCATTTTCAGTGCTTCTGACGGACACACCAAGAAAAAAACTAAAGGTAAGCCACTCGTTATTTGTAGTCAATTATCTAAACATGTGCACACTCACACACACTATGCTATTCCTGGCTTGCTTTGTTTTTCTTCAAGGGTTTTTGGTTTTGATTTCCAAAATTGTCATTTAAGTTTATCATTGATAATATTAACTATATCTTATATAAACATGATGTATACCGTAAGTTTTTAACGTACTGCAATCAGCATGTGCTGTACTATTCTGCTCATGATTGTGTAAATACATTGTATAAGCTAGTGGGTGACTATAGGTATATGCTAAGATATGCAAATAAAAAGAGCCCTGCTAAACGAGCAGTAATTTACAAAACTGATTAAACTGTTGCGAGTTGCCACAATGCTGATTGTGCATATATTTACATTTTAAAACCTACCTTGTAATTAGCACGCGTGCCGGGTGGCCTGCGCGCAGTTGGTGGGAGCGCGCTGGTGAGTGAGCACGGCTCGGCTGGGCACGGCGAGGGGACACCGCAGCTCCGGGCCAGCGCCCGGGGATGCCGCGGGCCGAGTCCCGGCGCGATGGGGCCGGCTTGGCCCCTCACCTGCGGGCCCGGCGCAGGTGCCGCCGCAGCGCCCCGCGGCCCCGGGGCTGCCCCGCTCGCAGCGCCGCCGGCCCGGGCGGGCTCTTGGCTCCTGGCCCCTGGCCCCGCTCCGCCCCGGGGCTGCGGAGGAAGCGGCGGGGGAGCCTGCCCCTGGCTGGCTCACCGGGCTCCCCTGGCTGCCGGCGCCGCAGGCAGGGGCCGGGGGCACGGGGCGGGAGCGGCGGAGAGAGCCGGGCCGGGGGCGAGGCGCGGAGCCCGGAGCTGGAGAGCGGCTCCGGCAGCGGGGCGGGAGCGCTGCCCGGGAGAGCTGCCCGCTTGCCTTTCCCCCGAAGCGCTGAACCCTCCCTCCGGCAAACGCGGCTCGATCCGAGGGAAACGAGGCTGCCGGCGCTGCCGAGTTGGAGTCCGCGCTGCCGGGGCTCGGGGCGCTCCGCGGGCGGTGCGAGGGAGCGGAGCCGCCCGGAGCGGCCGGCAGGAGAGGAGCCGTGCCCGGAGGTGCGGCCGTACTGGTGACCAGAGCCCTTCAGAGAGAACCAGACCTCCGGAGCGGCAGCTCTCCTGAATTCCCGATGCCTGCTTATAAAGCAGGTGCAGGAAATGAAATGATAATTTATTTCAACATGTATTGGCTTTGTTGCTGGTGGGAAGGCTAGAAAAGTTAATAATGATGTAGTTGCTGTCAGTACATGACAGAATAGCTTTGATGATGAATAAGGTGCCTTGCGAAAATAATTATAAAAACTGCATCTTAGGTATTAGCTAAGGTGATTTGCTTTTCTTACAGAATATGTGATTAGAAAAATAATAGACATTTTCTGTGTTTCATTAAATTCACGTGTGTATATATGTCACAGTTGGCTTAGAAGGAAGCTTTTGTCCTCTAATGACAGTACCAGTTTGTGCTGTTGAAGCCTGTACTTTTGTGAGATTTAAACTGGAAATTGAATATTGGCTGCTCTAGGCACATCGCAAGGTGGAGAAATAACGCATTTTGGCTTCTTTTGTGGTCAAACTCAAATAATTGCATGTTGTCTTTGTTCAATTTGAGGATTACTTCAGCAGTCACTCTTAAGTGTTGTGGCACCAAACAGTTTAGCTAATATATTGAAAATTAAAAAATAATTTGGGGAGAAATATAAAAGAAAATCAGTAATTACTAATGAAATGAACATTCAGCACCTTTACAATTAATATCTCCAAGTTAATATTTCTAAGGTGTTGCTTCTGAGTTTATTAATAAAGAACTAAAAAGGAGTATATTTATAATTTATTTCCAAACTGGCTTAAATCTTTCTTGTAGCTCCTTAAACAGATAAATTATGCACTTGTATGTGACTAGCAACTTCCTCTTCACAGTTAAGAAGTTCTTGTTTATAGTTTTCTGACAAGGTGAGGTGAGAAGAATGAGATTGTTCTGAATAAAGTTGTTTTTTTTTTGTTTCAGATTTGTAGCTGTTTGTTCACATGTGTCCAGGGGGAGATGAAGTACATTGGATCCTGCATAGTTTGGCTTTGTATGGCAGTCTTCCTCCTTCCTGTTTCTACTTCTGTGGCTGTCAGTGACCAGACAGGTACTTCCACTTTTCTTGCCCATCACAGACCAAAGACATAAATCTCACTACTGAAAAAATTTTAGCAAATAACAGGAGCACATAGAAAATAAACAATGTAAACAGATAAAATTATACAAGGTTGTTTTACATCTCTTTTCTGAAATGAACTAAGTTTGAAACAGTTCCAAAGTAACCTCTCTGATTCCTGTGCTTGGAAGATTCATGTTTGGAGGTAATTGTAGTTCCTAAGAGTTTTGTTTTGTACTTTACTTTTCCTACCATACAAAACAAGTTTATAAAGCAGAGTTTACAACACTTTTGTGAATAAAATCATATGGCTTTATTAGACCAGATCAGTTATCACATTGACCTAAACAATCTAATGCTCATGTTAACCACATCTATACTTCATCCCTTGACTGGGTCATATGTTTCACAGAGTAAAAAAAACCCTTTTTTTCTAAGAAGATGGGGGAAAGAAATAGAAAGATATTGTTTAACTTAAAAGCTGTTACCTGTCTTCTGCAAATTTTCTCATATTTCTATTTTCTTTTTTTCTTACTTTCCACATGTTATCTAGAATTCTCACTTAAACTCTACATTAACTCTCCAGAATGTGGTAAATTCTGTCTTAAGACACATCATATGAGCTTGTCAAATATGGAACATCAGTTTCTAGAATTACTCAGTCTCAGCAAGTACTTCAACTTACTATAATTTTCCTACAATTTTTAACAAGGAAATCATGTTTATTGCCATTTAAATTGAGTTGGGTTTTTTCTCAAAAATTAAATTAACTCTTAGTAATGCTGTTCCTTTCCAGAAATCTTATGAAAGATATTAGAAACTACACACACATAACAGCTTTGAATCTCAATAACCCATTTGTAACTCAGGCCCAAGAAATTTAAAAGTCCATGACTAGGAAAATAATCCTTTTACTACCTCTGGAGGCTATAAGTAGTAATAATGAATAAATAATAAGTGTAATGTGTGGGCTCTGAGGTAATAATAATGCATTGTGAAGAGCCAGAATTTAAGTCAAAGTCTTTTTCTTTTTATATTTTTAGGGCAGTGAGACTAAGTGCTCTGCTGATGAATTATTCTTAACCCCTCTGAGAGACCAAAGCTGCATCATAGCTGTGAAATCATTCTGTCTGAAAGAAGAAAAAATAGGGTTTATTCTGCCATTGCTAGGTGGTGCGTAGCAGAAGGGAAGTTTTTTAAAGTGCTAAAATGGTACAGAATGTACCTTAGCGATATAGACTGAAAAACATTAAAACAAAATTCCGGGAAGCATTGTCTTTTATATTTTTTTCCCTAATGAAGTGATGCCTTGGTAAAAGTTGGGCCAGTCAGAGAAGATGTGGCAGATACGGTGAACTCCGAATAAACCGTGTCTCTGAACTGTGCCTTACATTCCGTCAGAAGTTTGTAGCGAAGCAGTCAGCCGTGAAGTTGCAGTTTTCCTTGGCCTGATTACCACAAATGGATCAAATATGGATACAATTGAAACACTAGGAAGAAAAGGAGAGATTGAACCTCTCCTGTGAATAACTGAGGGTGTGCACATGAAAGAGGCTTTTCAGTTTGTGGTGGTACAGGCAGATGGTGAGGAATAACAAGCTGATAGCTGCCAGCTTGAGCAGCTCTGCCAACAGCAGGTGTGTGAGTAAAGCCCAGAGTTAAACTCCAGTTGATAACAGGAAAGAGACTCAACTAGAGTTTGCAGGAATGGTCACTGTCCAAAAAAGAATTGCAAGTTATAGACCAGAAAGCAGGAGTTGGGAAAGAATCGACACAGTAGTGGAGCAGCAGTAAAAGTGGTACAAATCTTTCTGCCAATCTTTTGTTAACCTGCCCTGTTCAGCTGAACCGAGTCGTCTTGCTCCAGTTTGATAATTTGTGTGCAGATAAATATGTTACAAATTTGAAGTGTGCTTTTTCATGAAAAGAGTAATATCTAAAAGGTTGTTTTTTGGTTTGGGGTTTTTTTGTGTGTGTTTTTGTTTGTTTGTTTTTTGGCTTTTTGTTTGTTTGTTTGGTTTGTTTTTTTTCTATCTTGCATTCAGTCGCTCTTTCTTGGGCCTTTGTTCCCTCCCATATACAAGTTCTGTTTAAATCAGCATCTATCCTTCAATATCTGCCTAGACGATTTTTTTGGTTTTCTTCCTTCCACAACATACACGTAGCATTTATTTCTCTGGGCTAATATGGAAGCTTTTCCAGCAAAGTGCATTTACGTAGGATCTGAGATTATTATATTTGCATCGTGAAATTGTTTGCCTGATCTACTTGAATCTAAAGGAATGGCTTCAAATACACGGGAAAAGGGTAGACTAGAGTTAATTTGTGGGTGGTGAGAGAAAGAGGTGTGTTAGGGGAAGGATTGACTTGTGTGCATATGTAGGAGAGAGCTTTCTGAGCAGGCATGCTGAATATACTTTATGACTTATTCATTGGGCTAATATTGTAATAAATAAACACCAGTATTGAAAAAAGAGTCAGAGGCTGAGAGAATATGCTGGATCTTCTTGGAGCAGTCCTCCTTAGGCTCTGAGGGTGCCAGTAAGAATTAGATCCACATAGAGGATTTCTTTTAGTTCTCATGTTTTGATATGCTTAGAGTTCATTAGCAGGAAGGACTCGCTTCTCATGACGGAGTATAGCAAATCTGAGGGGAGGGAGTTCAGGAGTTTTTCACAGGCATATTTTTGATTTGATTGCAAGAATACTTTCTTCATGTTGTCAACTTATTATTATTGGGAATATTTCGGGTTTGAGTGTGGATGTAAGCTCTTTCTATAGTGAAACATGAAGTTCTAATTTGATTATTCCTGAATGCTTTATATTAAGAATATTAATATTCTGTCTCATTCCCAGGTCATTGCTTCATTTTCGACTTTCTTTTACAATTACTGTTTTTTAAAGTCACTTGCTAATCCATGAAAAATGTAGTATAAACAAAGTCCTGGGACTGTCAGGCATGGTGAATTTTCCTTGCCTTTTGACATGGAATGTGTTGTGAAAAGTATTTGCTATGGATCATGAATTTAGATAGGCACTTTAACCCAAATACAGTAAGTGATTTAAAGTATGCAAATCAGTTCAGCTTTTTGGTTTTAATGTTTTAGTACAGCTAGATACTTCTCCAAATCAATATAATAACTCTACAGTAACTCATATACAATGTATTCATATTCCTGATATTCCAATCCAACCTGGCCTTGAATGTTTCCAGGGATGGGGCATCCAGCACTTCTCTGGGCAACCTGTTCCAGTGTTTCACCACTAAGTCTAGTCTAAATCTATCCACTTTTATTTAAAACCATTACCCCTTGTCCTGTTGTAGCAGGTCCTGATAAAAAAACTGTACCCATCTTTCTTACAGGCCCACTAAATGGAAGGCTGTAGTAAGGTCTCCCTGGAGCCTTCTCTCCTCCAGGCTGAAAATCCTGACTCTCAGGAGAGATGCCCCAGCTCTCTGATAATTTTTGTGGCCTTTCTTTGCACCTATTCCAGTAGGTCCACATCTTTCTTGTGTTGTGGCCCTAGAGCTGGATGCAGTAGTCAAGGTGGGGAGGTTCTCTTGAGAACTGATGTGCAGAATCACCTCTCTTGGTCTGCTGGCCATGCTTCTTTAGATGTAGCCCAGGATATGATTGGCTTTCTGGGCTGTGAGTGCACACTGTCAGCTGATGTCCAGCTTTTCAACAATCAGTATTCTCAAAGCCTTCTTGTCAGGGCTGCTCTCAATTCCTTCAACCCCCAGCCTGTTTTGATACTGAGCATTGCTCTGACCCAGGTGCAGCACCTCATGAGATTGCTGAACCTCACAAGATAACCATGAGCCCAATTCTTGAGCTTGTCCAGGTCCCTCTGGATGGCATTCTGTCCTTCAGGTGTGTCAACTGCACCACTCAGCTTGGTGTCATCTACAAATGTACTGAGAGTGCACTCAATCCCTTTATCTATATCATTAATTAATTAAATAACATTGGTCCCAAACATGACACCACTTGTCACTGATTTCCATCTGGGAACTGAGGAGTTGACAGCTCCCCTCTGGATGTGACTGTCCAAACAATTCTTCATCTTCCAAGCAGTCCACACATCAAATCCCAACCTCTAAAATTAAGAGCTATTGTGAGGACCATATAAAAGGCCTTGCAGAAATCCAGATGACATCCATAGCTCTTCCCTTGTCCACAGATGTAGTCACTCCATTGTACAAGGCCACTGAGTTAGTCATGCAAGACTTGCCTTGGTGAAGGGTGCTGGTTGTCTCAAATAATATGAACTCCTGCTTTCACTACTTACTCTTCTTCATGGGAGAATATAGTTCTCCAGGGGTCTAGCATGAGAATCCTAATCCTTGAACTCTATTGCTTGGATTTCTTATTTCTGCCTGCCAATGCTGTTACATTACTTCATAACCATCTAAATAGTCACCAGACTCAAAGATAACTTCTTTAACTGTATCATGTTCCCTTCATTCTTCCCACCCTTGTCTTAGTCAACATATACATTGTAATGTAATATAATCTTCTTTACAGAGTAAAATAACAGAATAGTAATATAAAAATCACATCATATTTTCTGGTGCCTGTATACTTGAGGCTACAGTTATGTAGGAAATCTGAATTCTTGACCTTGTTTGAAAGCAAGCCAGCTGGATCTGCTGTCTTCAGTATGAATACATTTGAAGTGGACTGACTGAATATCATTGCTGATATTTGCAAGTGTACGGCTAGCTCTGAAGAGGCTGCCTATGTCAATGTGTTTATGAAGCCTGATCCAGGAAGAGTATGAGAAAAATCTTGGGTAATATGGGTTTCTGCCTGAAGCTTGAGTTGGCACAGGATCTTAGTTTACATTAGGTTGGGCTTTGCTGTTTGGCCACATTCATTGGGCTGGCCATGGTTACTGATGGAAGCTTCAGTGCCTTTGCAATGTGCATGTCAGTGGTGGTAGATGGCAGCTAAAAACTTCATCTGAACGTGAAGTTTAATTATAAAGTAGCACATGGGTACTTGTGAAGTGATTCTAACCATTACAGGTTACACTAATCTGGAGAAGCCAAGACTGCCAATTGGAAGTTGCAGTTCCCACTCAGGAAGTGCACACAAG